TTTTTTTTTTTCCAATATTTGAACTCTCCACTAAGTACAAGCGATCCATGGTCCATTTAGCAAAGTCAAAACACGACCATCCTGCTGAAACCAAAAACTCTGACAGCTCCGAGACGGGATACAGCGGCCCTCCTCTCCTAAGCTGTGATTGACTGAGATGTTTGTTGGCACAGGCCACTGCCACATGTTGGACGAGGACACTCCATTGACGGAGGACAATACTGGACTGTTGGCAGTCTCTGAAACTGCATCCAGATTTCTTGCAGGTTTAAATCTGTGAGAAAGTGACCCCTGCGTAATCCTTGCAAAGTTCACACTAAAAGCTCATTTATATGAATTTTGGGAGGTAGGAAATGTTTCCCAGAGTGAACTAGGGGCTATTTTTGAAACATGAGTCAGTGTTTTTGGTGGGGAGTGGGCCTAAACTGTTGTCTCAATATCATAACACTGACGAAAAAAACTCTTGCAAAAGAAAAGGCTGGTAACTAAAAACCTGACATGACTGCTGCCTCAATCTACCATTATGCCACCAACTGGGCTCATGTGGCAATGTAATTACAACAGTATAAATGGAAATATAACGATTATCTTAATCTCACTGGTTGCCAGCATGTGAGCAGTCCTCTGTATGACCTGTATGCTTTCAGAGTTGCTGACTGAATAAGACGAAATGTCCTCACCAACTTAAAAGTCAAGTCTTATATAAAGCAAAAGTTTTTTTTCATGTTTGTGACTAAATGCCATTTGTCAGATCTCCAACTCAGTATAAACTATTCTTTCTTTTTTTGAAGACTGCCGCTGAAGTGTGACTTTTGTGAATGGCACTGGGCAAAGCCTTTAAATAATGTGGCTGCACAGCGTGAAAAGCCTATCAGGCCGGCTCTCAGTAAGACGTTAAGGGAACAGGACAGGCTGATGAGAATGAATGGGAGGCTGCTAACCCACAAGCTTGTTCATTCTGCATGTATTCAATTTTCCAGCTCTGTTCCCCCTCTCTCTCTCTCTCGCTCACTCTGTCTACAGTTTTTTATTTTTTATTTTTTTTTATTTTTTTGGGTCAGTCTCAATGTGAGTAAGCTGCCTGGCAAATATTTGTTGCTTGCTTCCAGACTTGGCGTTTGTGAATATACGACAGCGCTGGCAGGTCATTTTAATATATTACAATACATTTTGCCCAAATTGATTTTGTTTAAAGAATGCCAGCAACATTCTGCCTATAAATAACAATCGAATTCACAAAAGAAATCTTTGCAGAAGCTTAATGTGACTAAAATAGGTTGAAAGTAATCTCATTCATATATTTGAATGTTTGAAAGAAGGCCCGGTCATATGTTAAAATGTACAGATTCAGTGCTCTGCTTACTGTTGCATGTTGACTCGTCTCGCTGCTCTATTTTCGTCATGTCTTTGGCTTTTATTTGTATGTCACTTCAAACTTTGTGCTATTCTTTTGTAGCCTATCGTTTTCATTCAGCCTCCCGTGCCGTGACAGCTCGTGCTATTCTGTTAGGATTTGTGTATTTTGCAGCCTCCTCATACACTCTGAAGTGACACCACCCAGGAGATTAGGGACTATTTCATTTACCTCCCAACCTCGTCACCTTATCTTTTTTCCACATTTATTATTCACCATACATGTTCTGAGCCTGTGAAAGGTGCCATATGGGAGCAAAAATTATACCCGCACCACTGTCTGAATAGGCTTAGTTTAATTAAACTGTCATGTTTCTCCAATTTTGCTGATGGTTATTTTCATTTAGAGCCACATCTCGTAATGAAATTTGTACTCGGTCAGTGGCGTTGTCGCACGTGCACACAGGAGAACCTGCGCACACAATCGATAAGCCTCCCGTCTTAGTGAAACGAGCATGCCAGGTTTGATTACGGTGCATTGTTGTTAGAGGTTATTGCTTATTGTCCCTTAGGAGACCGGTCATCTTCAGGTAAACCAGGTGTTTTAGTCACGCTTCAGTGAAGTAGTAGTTGGACTAATGAATTATTAACCAATTATTACCAAAAGATCAAGAGCTATACTAAAATGTTCATGTTTTATGATGTTTTTATGACAATATGACATCAGCCTATTATACTGTCAGGGTGTCATAGTTAAAACACTGTTATACAGCTACAGCTCACATGACTACAAACAGTTTTTTGTGTTTTTTCCTTGGAGTAAGCCCGTCTTTTGTTGGCGTTAACAAGAAATTAAGCCTTTAATCACACATTGTGGAAAAAGAGACTTAACAGTAGACACGTAGCATCAGCTGTCTGTGTACGGTGTTCCTGCGGCCTCTGCATTTCCTCGTCATCATCATACACACACGTGTGTGCGCTGAGGATGCTGCTGTAGATGCGTTCACCTTGAGGGAATGGAGAAGCTGGCTGGAACAAATCCCAGACTGCAAAAACTAAATAAATAAATAACTCGCGTACGATACACAACAGTACTGCGGCTGCATAAAATCAAAGCGGACACACTGGGGAAGAGTCTGAGGTCATAGTTGGACAGCTTTAGTGTGCTGCTGCTGTTAAACATGTGTGACGTTGCTGAGTCAGTGTTCACGGTGGGAAAACGAACACGCCCATCCTCTACGTCCGTCCTCTGAAACCATCCTCTCACATAACTCTCCTGTTTTTGTTTCATATCCTTTGCATCGTCATTCGCCATCAGTTGTCCTTCGGCATATTTTAAACACAGTTGTCTACTCTTTAAATTTTCCACAGCAACTCTGTTACCTTATCTTCTAAAAAAGATTGCCTGGTCAGCAGGATCAGAGGAAACAAGGCAGCATTAGTGACAAAATCCATTCATGATTGAAGCAAAACAGGACTCATGACTCCTACGTCTAACATAAAAGACATGATGTGGTTGCACATTAGAACAAAAGCCAGCAGCTCACACTCAGCCCTTGTTTGTTAGTTTGAAATCAGCGTTCAAGTTTCCAACAGTTCTGATTACTGTGACCATGCAGTCAAAGTTAATTATAGCATCAGCTCTATGTAGCCACAGTAGCTGCTTAATGTACCACCTCTAATTCCATATTGTTGCAGGGACATTGCCATCAAAAGTAATCCTCTGGGTCATCAGTTCCTCTGATGGCAGGAGTCCACGAACAGTCTTGCGATCACTCCTAAAGCGATAACGTAGCGAGCTGTTTTTCGCTCATGGCTAAAATGTTTTTAGATAGTGGGAGACTGTGAGTCAGCCGCTTGTTGTTTTGAAAGTGTCAAAAAAGCTGCTATGCAGGCATTATACAGACGTGGTACACATGGATAAGTAAAGGATGATGAGAGCTACACAACAAACAAGGCAACATCTTAACAATAGAGGTGACATTGGTTTTTAAAAAACATTTTTACCTGTTGTAATAATACAGCTGGCTCCTGAAGAAAAGTTTGTTTTCATTTGTATAAGATGTGTTGCCTGTATGCTAAACTTTTATCCTCATATGTCAGCATAGAGATCCATTCTAGTGTATAGTACAATAAACGGGGTCGTTTGAAGGCCTCTGCTGTGGATGGAGAGGCCTTGGTCAGAGTTGTTTGTTCATGTCATTCACTCCGTACCGCTATATCCCCCGTCAGGTTCTTCCACAAAGGACGTGGGGCCGTCGCTGGGCCTAAAGAAGTCCAGCTCGCTCGAGAGTCTCCAGACAGCAGTAGCAGAGGTAACTCTGAACGGGGACGTCCCCTTCCACAGGCCTCGCCCTCGTATCATCAGGGGGCGGGGCTGTAACGAAAGCTTCAGAGCAGCCATCGACAAATCCTACGACCGACCGGCCGCCACGGAAGAGGACGACGAGGGCATGGAGACATGTAAGGCATCAAATGGTCCATCTTAATGTGACCGTCTTTTCGCAGCATCACAGGTTTGATTCCCACAGTGACCACGGTGTCCCCCTAACCGGGCGGTTCCTTCGCCTGCACTGTGTCATGTGAAATGTTATGTGGCATTGCATTGGGTTACTGAAATGATGCCGACTCGCACGAACAGCAATGATGATTCCCAGCAGGGATCATTATTGAAACGGATGAAGTGTCGGTACCTAAACTTTTGAGGTGGCTTTCATGCTTGTGCATGGGAGTGACGGCATTCTGACTAATGCTCAATATCTGGCAGCTGATATTATCACTGCTTGTGGCTATGGCATATGGGTGAGTCAGGATGTAACCTGCACTGTATCAGATATCACAGGGTCACAGTGTCACTAAGGGGCAGCTTATGTGGAGTCGACAGAGGAGCTTCCATCTTTTGGGAAATCTGTTCAAATTTTATATAAAAAAACAGCTTTTTAATTTATAGTAATAGTCAAAATGTCTCAAAACGTCTCAAGCATACATTACTTTTTGAGCAGTGTTAAGTCAATTTAGGTAAAGATTACACAGGGTAACCTGATAAACAATCCTCCTTCTTTGCTTTAGTCTTTTTATTCTGTGTAATCATGAATTAAACATTCCAAATATAAGAACTGAGAATGAGACAGCAGTGTAGCTACTGTATCTTTAATCTGATGTGCAGATTGTCTAATGACTCATTAACGATTCAATAACCGCAGTATTACAAAAGTATGAAGATTATGTAATTTAGGTAGCGTACCACACCATAGTGTCATAAAACTCTACAAATGTGTCGCCGTTCACCATAAATCCGTGTCTAATAGTCTCTAATGGTTTCTGTCTCGTTTTAGAGCAGAGCTCTTTAAGCACTTGTAATATGTATTTAAATTGTATTAGTCTCTTGGTGCTTAGGAGACATAATTGCGCGTTTATGACTTATAGATTTTCATTTATTAAGGTTATTGATTTTCACATGTGCTACAGTCCATTGTAGAACTTACCTGTTCAATGGTTAACACGAACGCTTTCTCCGTTTCTTTCCAATTTTCTTCTCCTGTCGTCTTCTGTTTTTATCGCTCCCTCCCTTTAGTGGAGGAGGACACTGAGGAGAGTTCACGGTCGGGGAGAGACTCTGTGTCAACAGTAGCGGACCAGACGCCGCTGTCGATTACCGAAAAGCCACTGGTCAATGGCACAAACCGCACCAAAGAGGAGAAGAAGAAGGACAAAGACAAGGGAGGGAAGGAAAAGAAGAAGCCGGAGGGAGGGAAGGAGAAGGACAAGGGAAAACCTAAGAAGGGGATGTTGAAGGGACTCGGGGACATGTTCAGGTAAAGTTTTAAAACTTTTGAAGAAAGTAACAGTAAATAATCAAAGACTTGTATGACTTTATGGTTTCATTAAATAGCAATCAGAGCTGGAAGCAGACTAGTCCTCATTAAATTTTACAAAGTTCAGTTTAATTTTCAAGACATTTCTGTGCATGCAATGTCAATATTTTAATATATGCAAACAGATTTAAGCTCGTGAGCTTATAATGCAACTAGGGTCATCTTATTGACTGAGTCTGTAGTCAAACACACACTTGCGTTTTCTTTGTATCATTTTACTTATTTTTACTTTTTGGTTCAACTTTGCCTGAGAACAAATTGCAAAACATAATCGCACAGTTACGGTGGCCCTGAGAGGCCAAATGGACTGAAACTTAAGAAAACAACAGTAATAAGAAAAACGCTGCAAAAAGCACACAAAACACAACGGAAATAGGAAAAAACAGATTTCCAAAAGCACAAGGGAAGTGTTTCTGGGGAGGCAATAACCTGACGGACCAGTTGCAGGAACCCAAAACTTAATTTGTGTGTTTTATCATGATTCATACAATACTGATGACGGATTTTTAAAACAACTTTATTTATCTCCATGGGGCATTTAAGATAATAGTTAGGCTAACACACTTACCTCTCATCTTTTCTTTCCACACAAAATCAATAGATCGTCCACTTCTTTTAAGTGTCTCCCAGCATAATTCTTAGCATATTTTGGTTCCTGCAACTGGTCCGTTGGGTTATTGTCTCTCCAGAAACACTTCCCTTGTGCTTTTGGAAATTAGTTTTTTCCTATTTCCGTTGTGTTTTGTGTGCTTTTGCAGCGTTTTTCTTATTACTGGTGTTTTCTTAAGTTGCAGTCCGTTTGGCCTCTCAGGGCCACCGTACACAGTGTGTTCATATCTTATCTTGTGGTGTTGTAACTTGTGTCTTGCCTTAGTGTAGCAGACAAATCCGCCTCCAACATATGCGCTTGTCCCCTTAATAAAAGCACGACGGCAGCTGATGATTTTCAGTAAAAACGTCATATCTTTGAGGACTTTTGTGTCCTGTACCCCGCCTCCGTAACTTTTTAAGAGTGGAAAAAGAGAGAATCAATATCAGTTCAATATCTGATGTTCAATATCAGAGCTCATGTCAAAGCCACAGTGATCGATGCTGTGAACAGTTGATACCGCCTCATTAAGTGAGCTTTGTGTTCTGTCTGCCTGCGTGCGCAAGAACCTTAAATCACTCATTATAGGTCTAGACATGGACAACCTGAACTTTCTGTTTTTTTTTTTTTTTTTTTTTGGCCGGTTTTACCTTTTGGCTTCTTTTTTGGAACGCTTGGTAGAACAGAAAGACCTGCATAATGCAGACGATTGACAAGCCTGTTATACAACCGTGGCACTGCTAAATAGTCTGAGGAAACCTTAATTAGACTCCCAGACAACTTGACCTTTGTGGTTTATCTCCCTCTAATTAATTTCTTTTCAGCCTCTGATATTACAACTGTTATGCTGTCTTATAGCTAAATAGCACACACAAACGCGCTCTCATTAGCGTGTTGTCTACATATTCCCTCCCCTTTCTCTGTCCCAATCCTCATTACTATTGGAGTACAGGTCGTTTGGTCTGCAGGTCTTCTCATCCGATTTGTTGGAAAGCTTTAGATCTTGCCAGTAATTTTATCTGTCTGTGATATTGACCAAAGTGACAGTGGCACAGAGTGAGGAAAACAGCGAGTATATCAGACAGAGTATCAATATTTGATGGGGAGAAATAATGAGGTCCACAGAGATGAGGAGATAACGAAAATATGTGCGAAAGAAGGATGGGTTTGGAGCAACAGGTAGCGAAAGACAAACGCAATCTTTTGAAATAAAAAGTAGATGAGAGAATAAAAGGAGCTTTAAACTCATGAGGGTGGGAGAAGGGGAGTGGATTATGTGGATTTGAGGGGAATTTTAACAGTGAACGGTCAACATTTATAGATCCAGTTTATAAAATGGAGAACCAAAAATTAACATTAAACAGAAAAATAAATAAAAGACGTAAAAATTCAGATAAATATTTGGTGATACTGCCCTTTAAACAATAAGATCCTCTTGCTCAGTGTTTCAGGGAGTTTTTGCAGGTAGGCTGGGCTAGTCGTTGTTCTTTCCACTGAGATGGTACTGTAATAACTTTGTATAATTTAACGTTTAAGCTTATTTTTATTCATCTCAAACTGGGCAGGGCCTAAAACGAGCCATTGTAATCTCTCTTTAAGCCAGCTTTGTTCTGATTGGCTGCCCCTTACAAACAGAGGGGTGAGTGCCTGAGATGACCATATTGAGAAAATCCCCTCTCGGTGACATCATACAGAATTAGGAGCAGGAAAGTCTCATATGGAGCTTAAATTAAACATTGAGCCTTTTTTTGGGCATCACGCTGTCCACTAATACATCCACTGTAACACTACAGAATATAGTTAATGTGATATAATATTTAATCCTCAAAACATAGGAATAAAATGCAAAGTACAGAAAAGGGGGATCAGGGGTTGAGACAGTGCAGTAAGACAATAAAGTTGCATATAAACGCTACATTGTTATACACATCGACAAATACTGTAAATAATCCCACTATATACATTTGACCTAATTAGCTCCAACATACACGTACTTGAAGATATGCATTGCACATACTGACATGCAGAGGTTTATAGATATGCACAAGCTGCAAATACATGCTGGCTTTTGGATTTAAAGTGACAGGAAAGCTCACGCGTACAATTTCGGTCACAGACAACCGCACACTGCAGTAATCTTCTTTCCTTTCTTACAGATGCACATGCACTCACACCGACTTAGCGCAACTTTCCTTCTTATCCTGCCATATGTTAATGATTGGCGTGTATTGTCAAAGCATCAGGGGTTGAGAATGTTATCCTGCTCTGATTGGCTCAATATTGCCCACATCAGATCTGGTCCATTAAAACGCCGTCTGGCTGCCTGTTTGATCCACGCCCAGTGTTTACTGGCCGAGACAGCTGTGTGCCCCAAAAAAATGATGTGAGATGCATTCAATCCATCTGTCTGTGTGTAATCTGGACCTCATATTAATTTTAAAGGGCACATCCCAGAAAGTTTGGCTTCAGTAAACTTGATATTGAAGCAAGTTCCTGAAGAAGTTCAAATTTTGAGGGGACCGGTTCATTTTATGGATGCAAATTTTTACGTTTAAACAGTAATTCCTCCAATTTCATCAAAATATAAAATATAAATATATTTAAACTGTTGTGTCTTTACTCTATAATTCATACTACTGGGCAAGAAAGTATTGTATCTAAGAGGAAAATTAATAAAGTGTATTATTGACATCACAGTTTGTTGTTTATTTAGATACATGACACGGGTAGAGACCTAATCTGAATATATATCACATCTGAACAGAGCAGGAAAAGCGTACTTGTAGCTTTTTTACTAAAAGACACACAAAAAATACCACATCCAGATTTGAAAATAAGCATAAAGAGAAAATCCAAAGGAGGAAAAAAAGTCCCATTAACACCCACATTGTGTGACTGAAAGGTGATATGTGGGAGCTACAGTTTAGTGAACACCACAGCAGTGAGCATTTAGCAACAAATATGTTACTAAGAGGGGGAAAAGCATCCGAATTTATGTATTCCATTTGTCAGTGTCAACACGTCGTGATGAAACTTAAGGCAAAGGCTGGCTGTGTGGAGAACAATGGCATAGGTTTTTATAAGTGTGCCCGTGTCACTCTGTGAATTGGGAAGTTTGAGACCAAGAGTGGCTACACAAGAGCTCCCGATGAGTGTCATGTGTTTGAGCGAGGCAGCGTTTGTGAGTGTCGGGGAGCTTTGATGTGTTAGCATGTAGGAGGAGTGGATCAAGAGAGGGAGGCCCTTAGAAGTTGGAGGACCGTGTGTGTGTCTGTGTACGCACTCGCGCACACGTGTGTGTGATCAACAGAGTTGCCACTGCCTGACCCTCTCATGTCTCGAAGGCCTCACACTCAGTCCCAATCAAAGCATCATTACCATCAGCCTCTGCCAACAGTGCGGCCTGCCAACTGTAGTCCTCCCTCCCCCCTTTCTCCCGCTCCTCTCCTCTCTCGCTCTCTGATCATCACTTGGACACAGAAGCAACACCCAGTCTATGGGCTTGGCATCTGCGAACGTGGTCATTGCCCAGAAATTTGAGGGCTACACTAAATTTGCAGTGGTTTTAGTGCATGTTTGTGTGCGAGTAAGCGGAGCAGGCTTCGACTCGGAGATGGCTTGAACAGCAACGAGGAAAGATTAGTCATGGATGAAGGGACGTCAATGCATCGTGCTCTGTTATTCTGCTGCCCGCAAGATAAAATGCTAATAATTGCGGTCCTTATAGTTATAGCTGTAATAATATATTTATGTTGAGGTATTGCATGTAGTGCTGGGTGTTCCTGCAACTTAAGACATGGTATTCAATCTTGCAACACTACACCAACAGTGATGCAGCATGAGTAGGCTTAGGAAAGCAGCAGCATTTTCAGTGATTTCACTTTGATTCGATTCTTTATTGACTCTCTTCTTCATTTTCATTGGGTTCTCATTGGCTCTGCTTTGAGAGTCACCACCATCGCTAAGCAGAGACATTACATTCATGCAAATTGATTGCACGCTGTGTAGTCAAATGTTTGTGCATGTTGGAGGTATTTACCCTCTTTGTTGTGGCCAGTGTTGGGGTCATTACTCAAAAAAAGTAGTTAGACATGTTACACAGAACACTTCGTGATTCTACTTTAGAAACACGAAGACTGCAGCCTGACTGCTCATCACTGCTCTTTTGTTACCTGTTGAAGTTCAGGGTCTGGACGCTGGGCTGGGGTCGGCATTCACTCAGCTTTAGCATCCCTATGGCTAGCTTAGCATTAGCATGCTGTCTGTCCAGGTGCTTATAAAGAGCCAAAGATTCATTAGCAGCATATTAGCAGTTGTTTCTGTCTTAGTTTGCACTTTAACATCGTGGTCTCATACTTTTGTACAATAAAAATAGAAGTAATGTTATATCCACACTGTAGAAAGTACCACTGTTCCTCCTGGTGTGCATCGGTGCAAATGCAACCGATGACCGGAATCGATAGGCAAGCAAACGAACAATTCCAAGGAATTGGACTGCTGGGAACTGGTTCTCGATTTTATCCTTAGTGGTTAATTGTAATAACAGTCCTTCCTATAAATCTGTGTACCAGATATGGTGAGTGAAATTCTAATGCGTTTCTGTTTCTATGTTACTTAGAGCGACTATGCAAGTATTTGTAAATGTGCAGCCATGCGGATCATGGTTGTGCCTTCGCTCGATGAGGGGAAATTCCACCCTGTCATCTAAATATAATCACTTCTGGGTCTTAAAAAACTAAGATGGGCCCAAATGGTGCATCGGGTGACATCCGGGTTGGTACATCGATCATTTATATGGATATATATTTATATATAGTCCATGGTTAATCTGTGTATAGTGTAAGACAAATGTGAGGCATTCTGCAGACTCAGTGTACAGCCGGATTGATTAAAATATTTTAAAACAGTGTAACAGTTCCATCATTGAAATAAATGACTGAAAAATCCCGATGAAACACCTTCCTTGGAGACATGAATTTATATGAGTAATTTCACATCAGGAAAAAAAGTTGGATTGATGAAAACTTTTGCAATAATCTAAATGTGGCCTCGATGTGACAGAAGACACCAAGGCCGCCTTAAAAATCTTAGTTTTAAAATTAAAGGTGTACACCTCAGCTGTGGATGTAATTCGATTAAATCAGGTCATCACCAAAATCACTGGGCAACCAAGTCCATTCATTGGTTGTTGAGATGTTTTGCTCATGACCATCTGGTTGATAGTGTGTCTCTGCCCAGTGGAAATCAAAAACAAGTTACTTGGCAATTAGCGTTGCTCCTCACGCACGTCTGATTATGCGAGTTCCCGAAAAACTGCGGCACGCTACCAAAAACTTGTTTTCACTTTTTGTGCTATTAAAAGGATTAACGGTGTTTCACGGGTGGTCTGCTGAATTGAATCAGCTCAGTCCCTGACATTTTGAAGTGATCTTTTCAAACCGCAGAAAGCAGTCAAAGCCTCTTTATCGATGCTGTTGCACTCGCAAGACGAGGCGGGCCTAACTGTGCCTGGAATATAAGATTATTAAAAGCCCTGGTGTCATGGTTAATACTCGGTCTCCTCCTCAAAGTTTTCCTTTTCAGTCATAAATCACACTGTGCGGGTGTTTGCGCGCGTTCGCGTGTGTGTATGACAAGGCTGTTTTTTAAAAGGGGCTGTTAATGAAAGTTAGTGGTGTGGAGAAAGTGTCAACCGTCTCTCGCCGTGATAGATCGCTCCTGCTCTTAGCATTAACGGCAGGCTGTCACTCTGAGCATTTCAGACAGCCGTAGTTAAATTAATCAAGTAATGGCCCTTAGTCTGCGCCCCTCCCCCCTCCAGCTGCAGTTTTTCCTCCTCATTCCTGTCTCTTAGCTTTTCTGTTTGTCTTTTACACTCCATGGTATCAGTATATGCTGTCTTTGGGGTTAGTACTTGGAACAACATTCAAGGGAAGTTGTATAGATGGTGTGAAAAACTAATTTGCAAGGCTTTTTTTTTTTGTCTGTGTTGGGTATTAGATGGTAAAGATGTGACAGGAAGCGAGTCGAACTCTGAGCAGATCGCTCATTTACCAGAAAGCAGCTTGCCTTGTCTTTAATTCATTTATTCACTTATTTTGTGGAGAAAGTTCACAAACATCTACCCAGTTGACATGTTATGAGCATGCGGATGATGCAAACCCATATTCAACTGTACCCCGGTACTTGGTCCAGCGGTCCTCAACCCCCAGGCCACGGACCAGAGTCGTTTGGTACCGGGCCGCGAGAGTTGTGGCTCGGGGGGGGAATTTATGGGTTTCAGGGTTTTCCACACCCAGGCCGTGTTGTAGTTGTCTTTTATTTTGAAAGAAATATTCACACGTTACCATAGCGACCAGAGAGCATTAAGGGGCAGAGAGGAGGATGTTACTCTCAATGTTGTTGGTGCATTTCAGGAGGACGCTGCTAATAAAGTTACACATTTACACAGTGAATTCACGTTTATTATTATATTTACAAAATACCACAGTTTTTCTCTTGGTCGTATCTTTTTATTTTATTATATTTATCCGCGACACCTTAAAGGCCGGTCTGTGAAAATATTGTCTGACATTAAATTGGTCCGTGGCGCAAAAAAGGTTGAGGACCGCTGCTTTAGTTCAGTGGAGCAGGAGTTGATCCATCAGTTTGAGCTATGCCTTCCTGTATGATGTCACCTTTATAGGTGCAGCTGAACTAGCGTGTGGTATCGAAGTGGTTTCTCCTTTTTTTAATGTCTGTGAATCTACTGCAACAAGACAGCATTGCAGTGCAAAAGCAGGGACACAGCATTAATCAAAGTACCCTTGGTCATGTTTTTCCTTAGAATTGTACATACAGGAATAAAATCAATGCTACGCTTTAGTTTCACAGTACCTAAAACAGCGTAAGGATATAACTCGCCAGGAGCAGCAGAATATTGTCACATAATTAACCTGAAATACAACATCGCAGATATAAATTATATCTTGGGTCAAGCTTTTTAACCAGATGCTTACAGCCCCGCTTTTCCGTCTTGTAGCCATATCAGGAATTTCAGCTCTCGCTCTCAGACTTGCTGTTGTGTACACCGAACATAAACACGCGGCCTCGCTAAAGCTGTGATATTGTGACACTTAGAGTTTTTATATCACAACAAAATTTATAACTGTATCATCACATATTATGTAATTATGGTATATCTGCTACTAAACTAGTAGAGATATAAACAATGTATCAGCGACTTCTTAAAAACGCCACAAACAGAAAAAATCTTTTTTTTCTCTCTGTTTATTTATGTTTTTAATGAACTATGACTTTGATCCACATCTTTTACTAATTTCCATACACTTTTTATCATACTCTTCTTTTTTTCATGTCTCATTTCATTGTGTTTTTCCACAAAGAGAATGACACGATTCATATGACTTTAATTTAATTTTGCATTATGCATTTTTCTCTCCGGCCTGCATTCATTTATTTTTCTCTCTTACTTTTTCCCCCGCGCGCTGCCGTTTTCTTCTTTCTCTTTCATTTTCCAGTGTTTAACTCACTCCTACACTCTCTCACCTCTGGGTTTTATGCGCAGCTTCATTTGCTTGTTTTGTTGGTTCTTGTGCTTCTCTCATCGATTTACTTTTGTATTTACTTTTATTGCTTTCAGTTCTCTTTCTTCTGTATTGATTTCCATGCAAACCACAAATTCACGTACCTGTCATCTAAGTGTTTTTCTTCTTTCTCTTTTGCACATATATTCGGGCAATTTACACTCATCCTCTTTATTCTTTAAGCGCCCTCTACTTTTGGAGTTTTCACTTTCTTTTTCTCCATCGCTCTTTCTTCTGAAGCTTTCTCACACAGACGCTCAGACATTCCTTTCAAGGTAGTCTTTGTGCTCTTCGCCATAGTTTAGTTTTTGGTCTTAATGGTTCATTCAACGAGTTTCTCTTGTGCGTGTTCATTTTTTTTCCTCGTGTTCGCCGTCTTCCTCTTTCATTAACACACAGACACACCTCTTTGGTTTTTTTCTCAGGGCTGTCTCTTTCGAAGTCGTAGATATTCTCTGTGGACCAATTTCCCTGTGAATAATCACGGCGGTTCATTGTCGAAGCGAGCGCGCTGCCAAAGTCATTTCTTCAACAGGCTGCAGCTTTATACTGAGTCAATCAAGCTGAAATATCTTTGCGGTGCCTCCTATTCGGTGAATCGTCACTCCCTCCCTATGAATATAATTACTGTGATGGGCTGCGTCTACGCCTTCTCCACAACTTTAAAAGAACTGAATTGGGTTTGAATTTGTGAGAGCTACTTTTCAAATGCTTCATTTGTGGGCTTGATTAACTGTTAAGTCGTAGCAGTGGGCTGTTTTTTTTGATCGCAGACAACATTTCAGCCGTATTGGTAAAAGTTGGGTTATTGTCAAGGTTCTGGCAGACACATCTGTGTTTCAGACGACACTTTTGCATCACATTAGCTGATTAAGAGTTTCTTGAAATTGCACCGTAGCTTCTGACTTTCTGTCTAGTCATGCAACTGCAGCAGTAACTTGTGACGAATCATAATTTGAATACAACAGAAAATATTAAAGTGACGTATAGCAGCATTAATGAAGTGGTGGATATTAATTGTTTATGTACTCCAGGTTTGGGAAGCATCGAAAGGATGAGCGGCTGGGAGAAAAGATTGATCGTAAAGGCTCCAGCAAGTGGAGGCCAGAGGAGACGCAGGCGTCAGACGAGGAGACCATGAAGATGAGGATGGAGCAAGAGAGGTGAGGCAACTTATGGTCCCGTATTCTGACAACGGGTGGCTATTAATGACATTAGCAAACGTGTATAGACATTTAAACAGATTAGTGTTTCAAATAAGATTGAAAAGCCTGATTCTG